CTTTAGAAATGCAGATTCGACGACGAAGGCGGCGGCGGCGAAGGCGACGACGGCGGCGACGACGAGGACGACGGCGGTGGCGGCGGTGTCGACGACGACGACGACGACGAAGACGACGACGACGACGACGACGACGACGGTGGGCGGCCGCGGCGCCGACGACGGCGACAACGACGGCGACCACCTCGACGACAACGACGGCGACGACGACGATGACGACGACGACGACGACGACGTCGGCGGCCGCGGCGCCGACGACGACGGCGACAACGACGGCGACCACCACGACGACGACGACGACGACGACGACGATGACGACGACGACGAGGGCGACGACGACGACGACGAGGACGGTGATGGCGGCGATGGCGGCGACGACGACCTCAAGGACGACGACGACGACGACGACGACGACGACGACGACGACGACGACGACGACGACGACGGCGACTGCGACGGCGACGGCGACGCCGACGCCGACGCCGACGCCGACGCCGACGCCGACGACCTCAAGGACGACGACGACGACGATGACGACCGCGACGGCGACGGCGACGGCGACAGCGGCGGTGGCGACGGCGACAGCAAAGACGGCGACGCTGGTGGCACTAGGGACCCGTCTGGGACCCGAGTGCCGCCTGGGGGGGGGCACCTTTTTTGGCGTCCTGGGCTCCTGGTTCCTGGGGGCCCCTTGGGGGCGGTGCGTTGCCGTGTGAAGGCGTGATCCCCCCCTGCAGGCCGCAGGCGTTCCGTCCGAGCTAGCCGCGCTCGCGGCTCCTCGGCGATGTCGATCGTGAAGTTTTGGTGCCTGGTGTAGGCGTGCCCAGAGTAGAGAGTGACAGTCTGTAAGGATGCTTGAATGGGAGTTTGAAGTCGAAGTCGATGGAGGAGGAGGAGGAGGAGGAGGAGGAGGAGGAGGAGGAGGAGGAGGAGGAGGAGGAGGAGAGGGAGGAGGAGGGGGGGGGGACGAGGGGGTGCAGGGGGAAGCGGAGGAGGAGAGGAGGAGGAGGAGGAGGAGGAGGAGGAGGAGGAGGAGGGGGAAGCAGGGGGAGGCGGAGGAGGAGGAGGAGGAGGAGGAGGAGGAGGAGGAGGATGGGGTGAAGAGGACGAGGAATATGAGGAAGACGAGGATCGAGTATAGAGGCGGGGGTGCGGGAAGGCAGAGGGCGGGGCGGAGGAGGACGACGGGAAGCAGGGGGCGGAGAGCGAGGAGGAGGAGGAGGAGGTGGAGGAGGAGGAGGAGGAGGTGGAGGAGGAGGAGGAGCAGGACCTCATCGTCCTCCCGCGTCCTACACTTTAGTGGTGGTGGAACAGTTGCCCATCACGGGCGGGCGCGGCTTTTTGGGCGCGCGCTTGGCTGCGCGACCTGGCTGCGTGGCACCGTCGCGCTGGCGGGGGCTCCGCGCCGCGATCTCGGGCGGGGTGTCAAGAGTCGAGGGTTAAGCCGGGCCTGTCCCTCACAGGGGGAATCTTCAAAAAGGATTAAATGTAGTCTGGGACGATGTTTCAAAACCATATTTGAGCATTTTGATCGTATGTGTTGGGTCTTTCTCTATGTTTCGTCCAGGATCCGCCTGTCGGGGGGGGGCATGCCCGACCCAAGTCAAGGGAGGAACAGCCCGACAATGGGCGTTTGCCAGATCGCCCTGGGCGTCTACGAAACAGCTCTGCCCCTGTTCGAGTCCTTCCCTGGGTGCGCTTACTCAACGGCTTCGCTTGTCGGGATAGTGATTATGGGGCTGGATTTGTTCTGCCCTCTGAAGGGGGGATTTTTGACGAAAAATAAAACATATTCAGAAGTACTCCAACATGGCCAACAAATGCTCAAAAGATAGTCCCCAGACTATGTTTTTTTACTATTTTCGAATATTCCTCCTGTAGAGGGACGGGCCCGACTCAACACGAGTGGCACCTCTGGGGCCCCTTTCTTCCCCCCCCATTGAAGTCACCAGAGGCCTCCCAGATGGGGTCCCAGTAGATGAGGTCGGAGGGTCGCGCGCCCCACTGCCGATGCATCGCCGATGGCGGCTCGACGTGGCGCCCGACTTCCTCGACGCCAGCGGCGCGTCTCAGGAGGATTTCCAAAAGGATTATTGAGGGACCCTTGCGGATCCCTGAAGATTCTTTGGGCATTTCTGAAGATTCTTGAAAAAGGCTTGAGAATGCCCGAAGGGTTCTTGTGAATTCCAGAAGGATTCAGTCGGATCCCCAGGGGATGTTCGAGGATCCCTGAGGTATTCACATGGTTTTTCGAGGATTCTAGAAGGATCCCGGAGGATTCTTCATGGATCCCGAACGGATGTTCGATGGATTTGTGTTACGGATTCCTGAGGGCTTTTTGAGGGAGTATGGAGGGATTCCTGAGTGGTTCCGGAGGGATTCATGAGAGACTCTTGCGGTTTCCTGAGGGACTCTGGAGGGATTCCTGAGTGATTCTTGCCGAGACTTTTTGGGGATTCCTGAGGGACCCCGGGGATTCTTGAGGGGCTCTTGCGTTCGTGATTCCTCATGCGTCCTCCGTCGTGGTCGCGCTGTCAATCGTCAGTCGTCCGTCGTCAATAGTTCATCGTCGTCGTGCTATCTCTCGCGCACGCGCCGCTGCCTGTGGGGAATGGAAGGATAGGGAAGTGCAGGAGGAGGAGGAGGAGGGGGAGGAGGACACTTTGGAGAAGGAGGAGGAACATGGGAGAGGATAAGAGCAAGATGGTGATGACGATGGTGATTATGAAGATGACGATAGTGATGATGATGATGCTGATGATGATGATGATGATGATGCTGATGATGATGATGATGATGTTGGTATTGATGCTGATGCTGATGCGAATGGTGCTGATGATGCTGATGGTGATGATGCTGATGATGCTGCTGATGATGATGATGATGATGATGATGATGATGATGATGATGATGATGGTGCGAGGGACGGTGATGATGACGATGGGGATCAGGAGGGCGAAATGGGGCATGAAGGGAAGAGGGGGATAACGATTAAGGCGGAAGAGATGGAAGGGAGGTTGACTGGAACTTGAGGGGCAATAAGGAGGAGGAGAATCAGAGGGAGGATCGAGCATGAGGATGAGGCTGATGTTGATGGTGATTCTGATCCTAGTGGTGATGATGATGCCGATGCTGCTGCTGCTGATGCTGATTCTGATGATGATGGTGATGATGATGATGCTGATGATGATGATGATGATGATGATGATGATGATGATGATGATGATGATGATGATGATCAGGATGATGATCAGGATGCGGATGCTGCTGATGATGTTGATGATGGTGATGATGACGTACTGTCGACGATCGGACGGATCGCAACCGCTTCTTCACATTTCCATCGAGAAGCAGGGAGCTCACCGCACCCAGACGCTCTTATGATCCCTCCTTTACTCGAAAGCATTTGGAAGCGCCCCCCCCCAACATGCCGAACTCAGTTCAGACCAATCGCAACTGCCTGCGATCGGTCCGAAGTGGTCGACGAGCGGTCGGTCGCGCTCGCGCTCCACAGAGGGCCACGACACGCTGTACTGGGCGGGGGGGGGGGGGGGGCGCATGCGAGCACCGCCACTGCGGCGTTCGCTGGAGCTCCCAAAGGGGCCACTCAACGCCGTACTGAGTGGGGGAGACGAATGCGAACACCGCCATTGAGGACTTCGGTGGAGCTCCTTTCTAGGGCCACGAGGCGCTGTACTGGGTGGGGGAGACGCATGCGCACACCGCCACTGGGGCCTGCGGTGGAGCCCCCTCTGAGGACACCAGAATTCTGTAATGGGACCTGGGTGGCGGAGACGCATGCGAACATCGCCACTGGGGCCTTTGTTGGATCTCCCTATGGGGCTACGAAGCGCTGTACTGGGGGGGGGGGCGGCTGTGCGGTGATGCTGATGATGTTGATGTTGATGATGATGATGAGGAGGAGGAGGAGGAGGAGGAGGGGGAGGAGGAGGAGGAGGAGGAGGATTAGGATCAGGATCAGGATCAGGATCAGGATGAGGTTGAGGATGAGGACGAGGATGAGGATGAGGATCAGGATGATGAGGATGAGGATGAGGATGAGGATGAGGATGATGAAGATGCTGATGCTGATGCTGATGCTGATGCTGATGGTGGTGCAGATGATGATGCTGATGCTGATGCTGATGCTGATGATGCTGCTGATGATGCTGATGGTGATGATGGTGATGCTGATGATGATGATGATGCTGATGATGCTGATGCATGCTAATGTTGATAGGTGGAGGGAAGAGGGGTAGGAGGAGGAGTAGGAGGAGGAGGAGAAGGAGGCGGAGGAGGATGAGGATTAGGACCGCGGGGCGCTGTCTCTGCAAATCAAGGACCCAACACCACAGGATGGTTTGGAGAAAACAATACACTTGGAAGGGATGGGTGGGAGGAGTAGGATGCCAGATCTGGCTAGAGCGCACCTAGCTTGCTTAGCTTGATCGTACCCCCTCCCCCCCTCCCTCTTCCCCTCCAATTCTCGCCCTGCCCCCCGTCCAACTCTTCTCTGCACGCACCTCCCATTGTGCCCGTTACTCTCACTGCTCCCATTCGCCCGTTCTCATTGGCGTCCGCGGCCGCTCTTGTATTCACGTTCTCGCACCCGCACCGCACTTGCACTCGTTCCTACTCGCATATCATGCTCTTTCCCTTCGCTTCCCCCTCTATGTCTTGCTCACTTCTCTGGGATCGGAATCATCCTTTCCAGGGGTCTGAAATGGGATAGAATTGGGTGAGAAACTGCACGTGGCAACTGCGCAAATTTGATCCCGCAGCAGAGGCTTCGAGCAGTGCGCAGGGCATTCCGCAGAACTGTGTGTAAGCCTTGCGGCCTCGTTGGAATCCCAATTGCTCGACACGGCTGACAGGAGGAGGAAGAGGAGGAAAAGAAGGAGGAGGAGGAGGAGGAGGACGATCAGGAGCGAGAGCACGAGAAAGACGAGGGGGCGTGGGCATCTTCCCTTAGCAACCTTCGACGCAGCCGTGGCCTACAGGATGGGCCGCCACTGGAGCTGCTGCCGCTGGCGCCGAAGGCAGCGTGCAGCGTTTTGCCACCCGACGCCTTCCAACGATCGCCCGCGATGCGATCCGACCGGCTGCCTCGCCCCCCATCGCTCGAAGCGATCGACTTCAGCCGGCACGAGGGTTAAGACAAATGTGTTGGCCTCGCGTGATGGTAGGCGATACATGGGGGGCAGCGAGAGCTGCAGAAAAGGGGCTCTTCCGGGCCCCTAAAGGGGCCCTTGAGGACCTAAAAGGGGGCCTGCCAGAAATCATTTGTCTCTCCCCACTCGTGGCACCATCATGAAGCGACGCCAAACATATTGGCCTTGAAGAGGCACGCTTGTGGTCTTAGCCTCTGGGCTCTTCACCTTGGAGCGTTCCTCGCTTTGGGCGTTTTCATTGGGGCCTTGGGGTCCTGGCAAAGCGGCTCGCGTTCTGGGCCCACGTTCTTGCGGCTCGAGGTCCCTCGCGGAAGGCCTCTGGCCTTCTGACAAGTTTTCTAAGATTTCCCCGCAGACGCAGAAAACTTCTCAGGAGGCCGCCGCTTTCTGATCATGCCTGCTCCTGCTCACTTTTCCCCTAAGCGCGCCGCCGACGTTTCTCGGGCAGGCAGCATCCGGGCCTCCCAAATGGGGTCCGAGCAGATGGGGTCGCAGGATCGCGCCGCATCGCCGATGCATCGGCGACGCGGCTCGATGAGGAGCCCGATGTTCTCCGCGGCGGCGGCGCCGCTGCGTCGCCCGTGTCGCCGATGCGCCGCCAGTGCGCCGCCGATGCCTCGGCGACGCACTGGCGACGCGGCGCGCTCCCCCGACCCCGTCTGCAGACTCGGACGAAGAGCGTCGTTTCTTGGACGCGTGAGCACGCGCGATCTCGCTCACGATCCGGAGGAGGCGGAGGAGGAGGAGGAGGAGGAGGAATAAAAGGAGTCGAAGGAGACAGTGGAAGAGGAAGAGGGGGAGGAGGAAGGAGGAGGAGGAGGAGGAGGAGGAGGAAGAGGAAGAGGAAGAGGAAGAGGGGGAGGAGGAGGACATGGAGGAGGAGACTCGGAGGACGGGCCGGCAGCGGCTGCTGCGCTGCCCTCGTCTCCATGTTCGGCCTTCCCATCTCGCTCTCAGTCGGGCGCCGACTTCGGGGGTGGACAGAACCCCCAACAGTGACACGTCGATTTGTGAATTGTCCGTTTTCGGTTCTCGAGAGGGCGCCGTGGCCGTCATTTTCCAGGCCTGCGCCCGCCAGGTTTGGGCCTCAGGTCGTTTTCACTAAACCACGTTTTACTAAAGGGGGGTCTGTCCATCCCCGACGACTGCGTCCCCTAGTGCCCAGAAGGAAGGGAATACCAAGAAGAGTCGGTGGACATGGAGGGGGGGAGACGCGCCAGCCGAGTTCCCAGAGGACCTGTTGCACATTTTGGGCTCGCAGCGGTCGGCGATGCCTGGGGCCGTGGCAGTCAAGTATGAGGGGCGAGGAGGGAGGCGGAGCAGGACGAAGCGGCCAGTTTCTGTAAGGGGCAGGGTTCGGTTGCTTCTGGTCGGTTTTGCTGACCTTTGTCCCCAGCCATCTGAGTTTGCGCATTGAGTACACATCGTCATTGCTTTACGTACTCACCATATTTCCAACCAGCGCCAGCATGCAGTCGACATGACCGTACCGTCGTCATCGCCTCGACATGTTCCTCATTGCCGTCTCCCTCATGCTGGGTGATGTACAAATCTACCGCTGTCTCCTTCGTCGAGATCCGAGTCGTCGAGTCATCGCCATGATTTGGACCCGGTCAGTGCCAGTATACGTACGTAGTCGTCTTGGTCCAAACCATCATCCGTTGTGCACCCATTATCCAGTTTGTCCATCCTCAGTTGAAGTGTTGATTGGGCAGAAAGCGAGGATGCGGACAGCGTTGGTTCTGCTAGTCTGGTGTTCGGCCACGGCCAGCCCATTCGACCCTCACCGGAAGCCTCGCTTGTCGTCACAGTTTTTTTTCGATGGCTGGTTCACCCGAGTAGTGGATCACACGAAAGGGGTGTCATTTGCTGTGATTGTTGGGGCTATTGCCACATCCGCTATCAATGTTGTTTGATTGGCGAGTCTCGAAGGTCTCTTGGGTATCCTTTCAAGACCCTCTCGTCGGTGTTGTAATGGCTTGTTGGGAGCTTGGTGTCTTCTCGTGGCACGTGTGGTTCTTCGGGATCTCGGGAATTCGGGTGCTATCGAGCGCCTCTGCGTCGGTCTGCGCGGCTCATGGCATTGGGAGGCCTCGTGAGAGTCTGCTTGGGGCATCTGAGGGCGGTCTTGAATCTGCGTTCGACGTCTTGGAACAGTCTCTGGACATGTATGGCCGCCTGGTGCCAGACTGTAGAAGCTGTGGTGTCCCTCAGGGCACATTGCTGCAACATTGAGTCGTCACGTCTCAGTACCTCTTGGATTTTTTTCCCTGGGCATGAATGCCATGTTCTTGAGGAGAGCCGATATGTGAAAAGTCGTTGAGCAAAGAGTCGGCTTGTCAGTAGTGGTCGTGTGTTCAGGTAGTGTCGTAGACAGGCAGAGCTCTTCGAGGCATCGTGGTTCTATCTTGGCGCGTCTTGAGATCTCCCGCGGCCATCTTGGAGTCAACTTCGGGCTATCCTGGTTGTCCTGGTTGTCCTGTCCTTGAGCCGTTCGGAGTGTTGAGGGTATCCAGCTGGCAGGCCAGGGGTAGCGACTCGTTCCTTCTCTCCCCCCCAAAGATGCAGCCATTGGCCCAGTATGGAGGTGATGCGCGGAAGGTTCCACAAGATCATACGCTTGGTGACCTCAAAGGGGTCGGTGTTTTTGTCGGTTCGTTTCAGCCTGCTCACAGCTCCATCTACAACGACAGTTGGGTGGCGCTTCTCTATTCGGCTGCAGGAAGTACAGCCATGGTAACAGAGCAACACTTTTTGGACCAGGCGGATGTACATATTACACCCCGAAGCAGTTCCACCCGGGCCGTTGTCTCGTCCTTCATTTGGGAGTCCTCGTTGGGTTCTCTTGTTGTAAACGACAGCAGTGCGAAGTTAAGCTTTCAGTTCAAGGCCTTGGGTGTCCGAGCCCAGTTGTCTCATCGATTGCCTTGGAGTAACGGTGCTCCAAATTCAGCGGGGCCCGAGGGGTG